TGTGTGAATTTTACGACGAAAAATGGTTCAGAGAACAGAAAGCATGTCCACACAAATTGATGTATGAGATTACAGGTATAAAAAACTACTCTCGCAAATAAATATTATCTATATATTCGTCCACATCTTGGTAACGTTGTACACGATATGTCCATCTTCGTTGTAATTTCGACATGGCTGTGTTATATAACAAATCTTGCTTAGCATGCATCAATTCCAATTCTCGATCTATACAATGTTGTTCATCACACCATTTGTCAATCAAAACATCGTATATATTTTCAACATTGTACCTACAATCGGTCAAAACCGATGAAAATGAATCCATCCACACCTCTTTAGTCAGACCATTACGTGTGACCGTCACATACCATCGCCATAGATAACGTGCGACAATATTCTCTAACAAATCATTCGCCTCCCCTGTATGCCAACCCTCTGGTTTTTCAGGTATTTCAACTTTTGAATCGAAAATAACAAACGCCGCCACTTGATCCGGCAGTGTTCTATTCTCCATCTTTTCGTTTTTTACTAACGCTTTGTTGTTGGGTACTGTATGTTTTATACCAGCGCATGATGTCATAACCGGACACAATCATTTTATCTATAAAGGGTGCTTCATACAACGAACTGGCCATATCTTTAATTTGAGTTAACCGATTCCAAAATTGTAAAATATAATACTTATCTATCACTGTACACGTTTCCATACACGACATATTAACACCACAAGGTAAAACATCACGCAACACGTTTTCAAAATCGTCAACATTTATTTGTACAATATACATTTTTTTACAACCGTTATAAAATAAAATCTCAACGCACATGTTGACTGTAAGATGTATAAGTAATAAACTAAAAAAGTTCACGGTAAGTTCTGATTAAGTGCACGGTGATAAAAACTACTAAATATATGCTGTTCACGCGTTTCATCTTTAGTCATACTTCGCGTCATTCTTCCGCCAACACGTGCCTACAAAAAAAAATGGACAAATGTAAATGTGTATGTCGTGAAAACCTTTATGGAATGCGTTGCATCTGTGGCTGCGTTTGCTACCTTTGCGCTATTGAAGAACTAGAAAAAGAAATCGAGAGATCAAGAGCTAAAATTATAATTGGAAAAAAAACGGGTATGAAAAAAATTGCTAACCATCTTATCCATTTTTTCAACAAAGGGTTGTGCCTTAACATGCGCCGCTTCACATCTCTTTAACCGGTACCAATATCTTAAATTTACACCGGTATTTTGTTCTAACTTCTCCACGGCTGCTAGTTTTTTAGTATTCACTTCCCCCATGATCCAGCGATTAACGGGGCTATCTCGCAAAAAATTCCCACTTGTTACAGCAAGGGGTGACCATAGATTTCGTAATAGCTGAAATTGCATCTGCCAAAGCAATGCCTCGTACAGCGTAGCATCATTTTGTATCGATTCTGGTATGAGGCCTTTTTCTACCAGAAGATCGGTCAAACTCGTAACACACCATTCTTGCTTTTTTCTAATACGTACGGCGTTATTTGGGTTCGGGATATTAAATGTTTTCCCATTCATCCATTCGGCAACTACAAATTCCCAACGATCGGCTTCGTACACTGTATAATACGCCATACTCGCACTAATTGCGGATAAAACTACAATTAGCAAATATATACATAATACGATACAGAAAGTGAAACAGTAATAGCCTTATTTAGGTATCATCGTTCCTATTCTCTTTACAACGATACAAAAAGTACAAACAGTAATGACCTTATTTGGGTGTCGCGGTTTTTATTCTCTTTACAACCCATCTTGTTGAATTACAAATCTCATATATTCAACGAAGCAACGTGACGCCAACACGCCGGTATTTTGTAAAACATATAAAATTATAGCCACGTCATCTTCATCAAGACACCAATTTGCTTCTTTCAAATAATAAATAAGATTGTCGAATAATCCCAGATCATCTGTTATAAACAACTGATTGTTAATAACATTGTAATAGACGCGTGTACAAATACGCACATTATTATTCAAATGCGAGACGAGAAAATATTTCTGATTCCAACACATGCAACATGCCCATCTATAATGCCGTTCTGGTTCCATCCATACGACTGTATAAATATTTGCGTAGACCACATCGTCATAATACCAAATGAGTGGTGTAGAACCCTTATGACGGTCTGTAGATTCAAAAAACGCGCATATGTTCCTATTAAATTCATATGCTTCATATTTAAATGGTAACAACGTCGGTTTCCCCCATAACATACGCCGTGGTGCTGTTGAAGAGCGAACGTGGGTGCGGGGATGCCGATGCTTTGCCCTGCCATACCAATACCAATATCGAACAGTCTATTAATTTTAGATCATCGTTTAAATACACTATTTAATAGCGATGAATTTAATACAGCTATGGGGAAATTACAGACAAAAATGGAGAATGACCATATAAGGGCAAACAAAAAAAACATGTTGCGTATATAGGGTGTACAAATCAAAATGTGAATGTAAAATGTGAATGAACCATGGCAAAAGTAGAATATACCTACCACCCTATTGAAACATACCGCAAATTATTCTACTACAATAACACACGTAACCATTACCGTGTCGCTTTGGTCAAATATATGGATTCTGTTTTACCGGAAAGCACGTACCCCTACATACGATTACAAGTACCCACAATTCGTTACCCGGTGTACCCCTTATTTCTACGACCGCAAGAATGTATGTTGATACACATGGTAAGCAGGGTTCTCTAAAGAAATCCTTACCCTACAATACAACTAAACAAAAATCTTATCTTACAGATCAATGGACAACCACAGTCTGTGACATCCATCGCCGTAAAAATCAGCCTGCAAGAATATCAAGAAGAGCGAGCATCTAAAAACCCGCACTACATATTTAGAAACATTGAAGAACGTAATAATACTTACAGTAATAATGTAAAAACAATATCAATCAAACATTAAAACTTTTTATTACAAAAACGTGTGTCTATGATTTTTTTACCAACTTAATTATATACAACGATACTAACACCCGGGTATGTCGTAAAATATAGCTAACTGCATCACAACTATCACCATTACTTAACGCATGATTAAAATAATATTCAAAACATTTATCGGCTTCGATACTCGTCAATACAGGATAATTATTAGAATAATAAAAATTATTATTGTGAAAATAAAAAGTAAAACCCTTATCGTCAACCCTATAAAAAACTGTCTTATAGAGACGGTTCGGTATACTGTCACAACTAGAACGGTATAATATATCTATACCGTTCACACTATCACAAAATGTACTTGGTCTATCGGCTACACCTTTTCCAAAAAAAACATAATTAATGTCTGTATAAATCACATTGTCATAACACCAGGTCATCAAGGACACACCGACATGTTTTTTTTTCTTAAAATCTTCTTTTAATGCGTGATCAAATTCAACCCCTTTACTTTTTCCATAAAATTTTACAACGCGACACATTGTTGTTGTTGTTTTTTCTCTTCCACCACACAGACTAACTGCACAGATTCATTAACTGAAGCCTCTACTTTTAGTAGACAATCACGCATCTCTTCTAGTTTCCCATTAATATCGGCAATAAAACTTTCTGTCTGCTGTCTCACAGAAATCCGCTACGGGTTTCATCACGGCATCGCTTGTTCCGTACCCCAGACTTTTCGCCACCCTCCAATCGTTACAATCACCCTTACTACAAGACATATTTATTTTCCTACCCTGATTTTACAAAAATATGTGATTTTATATGCGAGTATTTTTTATTATCAAAAATAAATGCACCCATATTTGGACATATTATTTGTTAACAACTCCTCGACACAAACAAGTCGTGTTTTTGCAATGACCAAATATGGGTCATGGTGATATTAAAACTTATTTATACTAACTCGAATTTTTTTCCTGTTTCTTGATAGTTTTCTATAAACAATAAAAATATATAAATATAACCGGTTCTGACAATTTTCTTTCACAAAATAAGTAGCGCTTACCAAAGGTTCAACACACAAACGACGGGAAAGGTGACAACTAGATCGCTAAACTAAATTTTTAATTTCGCCCTGCTTTTTAGCGGGCGGTATAAAATAACAAAAAAAATGTGTGAGCGTCCTGAAAATTGGTCTGGTGAAACAGGCCAAGAACAGCAGCAACTATTTGAATATATATTAACATACATTATACAACGCGATCTGCATGGTAAACACGGTGACGACATCATTGAAGAAGAAACATGGGTTAGAGATGCGGGTGAAACTATGCGAGACTACGCACACTGTTACGCTGTAGATGCTTATATCGATATATTAATACTTTATGAAATAAACGATATAAAATGGGATGAAGATACGGCGTTGAAGATAGAACGTTGTCAAGACAAAGATTTACTTCAAAAATTATACAAGATATATAAAGAATACTATTATTGCGACTCGAAACAATTCGAAAATGTGTATCGCTATATCGATTCAAAAGTATTAGCCTAAAGATACAAGACAATAAGAGTGAAGATTTAATACTTACATTCCATCAACCCAAACTTATTATTTATGCTTATTTTTATGAGAGATGATGGAATTGAGCCACATTAAAAAAATAAAAAAAGAAGAAGAAGAAGAAAAATCGACGCAGGGTATCATGTTCAAACACTGCAGCCAGTTGATTTATTTAACTAGTTACAATGTTTGAAAATGACACAATGCGTACAAAGTTACAAAAAAGGGGAAGAAGAAAATACATAAAATAAAGAACCACCTTTACCTGTTTTTACAATTATTGCTACCAGTAACGTATGGCAATAATAATGAACATAATAATAAATGCTACAAGACAAAAATGTAAAAACACCATTAACGCGACATCGTCGTGATCAGCCATGAACGCATCTGCGTGTGTTGTGTATTTACCAGTAGTTATATATGTCATATTTGGTTATTTAAAAAAAATATATGTCTAACGCTTAACACGACACTAGCAGCAACATCTTAGGAGGGAATCGAACCCCCTTTGACTTAGGTCTTAACGCCCCTTCTCTCGTTACAGAAATGGGACCCCCTAACGCGTTACCATTCCGCCACACCGACTACTACTAACGATGTGTTAAGACGCTAGACATATACCCCTACATTTATTTCGCTTTTAACTACCTTTTACTATGCTTACATAATTATTACGGTGTGAATATACACAAGAAATTTGTTTGCCATGCGCAGAAGATAAGAAAATAAGAACTAGGAAATCTGCGGCTTTGATATCTTTGTGAATTTTTTTACGAAGATATTAAAACCGGGTTTTCTTTTTGTTAGCGAAAAAATGATTATGTCAACGTCTGATGGAAACACCGGATAAGACACGAGCAGCAAGTGGTAGCACGCGCAGCTCGTGACGTCACGGCGTTCGCTTTCAAAAACGGCGGCAAGTTCGAACGAACGTCACTTCGGTCGACCATGGCTTTGGGTTCGGAGCTCCCCCACGCATGCGCACACGCCACTTGCGCAATGCACCTGTCAATCAAACACGGCAAGCATTCGTCCTAAATTGGGTACGCCCCCTTCAAATTATCCCCCCCCGTCCGTACAGTCAGCGGATGTTACCTTTGACGCCCGCGATAGTTTCACTTTCCATTCAAAGCTCCAGTTAAATGAAGTAGGTTCACACACCCCCTTTTTTTTTAGTATACCTCTTACTATTACTACTGTCGATATCAATCACATGCATTCACCTTTAAAACTAGTGATATATCCTCAATATTAAAAGCCTGGGGGCGGTATTTGATTTCAGTCCGAGGGGAGAGAGGGGCTGAATGTGTTTTCACTTCATTAGTATTCTTTATATAAAATTTCAACCTCATTAGTACTTCTAATGTACTTCTAGTAACGCCTTCGTAATTCGCTTGTCTCGTTTCACCATCCAAGGCCCATCTGAAAGTAGCAAATCTAAACCAAATATATTAAATCAAATGATTATGGCCCAATTTTTCACAAAATGGCTCAATTACTTACAATACTTAGCCTACTGCATGCCAATTAATGTCTTTATACCTGTTATCCTTCTTGTCCAAAATCGTAAACGCATTTACACCATTAATCTCCGCTAAATGGCGTTGAATACCACAACAAATACTATAAAGCGTTTGAGGGGGATAACATTCTCCATCCTCCTTACACACCTCCATAACAAATTTCGCTAACCAGAAATTAAGTGTTTCTGCCGGCATGTTGCACACATTGATATCCAAGTCTTGAATTTTTGAATTGCTATATCAACTAAATTGCCTTGTTCGTCGGAAGATTTCTTAGATAATCTTGTTCCCTGCCACTCTGAAAAGATCTTCATTGACCATTAATTAACGCCACAGGTTGACTTTGGCACGGCATTTTCTAGCAGTTTCTTCTCTTCGGCACTTTTAGGCTTCCTAAATGTTCGGTTCGATGCCATGGTTTACGCCTGTGTACTTGCCACAAACTGACTTTGAATAAACTCTTGAACCTGTTTTCCATTTATGTAATCTGTATCATAGGGAAACACAGCGTATTCCTTTGTGTCAACATAATTAGTTCTGTCCGAGTCCTCACCAGTGGTGCTTACGAAACAAAGAAATATGCTACGTTTTGCTAATTGTTCACGGTCCCCAGACGGTCATTTTTGAAGCTGTTTAATTAATAAACTCTCATGGAGTGTTTTATTAGGTTTAAAGCCCCCATGCGCCCTGGAATTGGTAATGACGTAAGTCTCATTGCTCCCTGGGATTGTCTAGCCCACATTTATCGGGTTGCCTAGCAACAGTCACAAGTATAAAGTGCAAAATTCCCGCTTTCAAACGATACATCATCCGAGAAAATTGATCAAAAGTTTGCGAAGATTTTCGATTTTAAAACTCTATTTTTTTACAAAACCTGTGACAACCGCAAAGTGTCACAAGATGGGAATTTGCAGCAAGTTTTAAGGATGAAAAAGAAGAGGTTTTTAAAGAGTTTTGCATATAAAATATGTTGTAAAACATGAGGGAGTGTGCATATGTTTCAAGTCAAATTCTTGTCCAAATCAAGTCGCGCAATTTTCAGCCAGAAAAACAGCAATTTCTTTCAATGGAAGCTGGTCAACTCGACCCACTGACCAACTCGGCCCATACCATCTTGGCCCAATTGTTAACTACTGTTTGACATATTAGGAAAGCTAATATTTTGCAAAAGATAGCACCAAACCAATCCAGCCATTTGCAATTGCATTGGGCGTACAGATGAATAAAAGTTTGAGAACATTCAGTTTGACTAGCCTCCTCCGCAGGCAACTCTTGAAACACATACATGATGAAACACATACATGAGGGATAAAGAGGGGGAGTTGCTTGCCATATCTGAACGAATATTTTTCGGTCTGCGCATCTCTTCTTGCGCAGAAATAGATGTCCTTAGTAGGGTGGCGATAGGCGATTTGTCACGGCAAGATGGCGGATAAACGATACAAGCCGTTGAATTCGAAGATTCCTGTTTTGAGTAAAAATTATAGAAGCGTTTTAAGGCATGTGAGATTGGAGAAGGAACTGATTGAAAAAGAGCAGGCACAGGTGTCGAGTTTGAAGAAGGATTTGGATGCGCTGAAAGCTACGGAGACAAGAAAGGCCTCAACTTCAACGTTTGATCGGTTTGAATCATCTCTTCATGCTGAACGTCCAGTTTATAGTGGGAAAAGTGACTTGAGAACTACGATCACAACACCAAAAGGGACTAAACGAAAAAGCGAGTAGTAATAGGTTTTATTATTAGCAGTAGAAAATATTTTAAAATATTTGTTTTGCTTGCACAGTTGCATTGGCCATTGTCTTATAAAAATATATATATTTCTCTGTAGTTCGACCTTCACGCATTCATTTTCAAGGAACTCTCAAAGACATATTGCATGCTAACATCGTTAAAAAGGAAGGTCATTTGCTAAGTGTTGACCTGTTGTTACAGTGCCTGTATACATATGGCTCTCTGAAAGGGATTGGCACCAGGGAACTTCTTATAGAGGTGTCCAAACTATTTGGCAAAACTACAAGCTACAAAGGAAAACAAAAAAAGTAAATATTTAAAAGTTTTCTATGAATTCTAATATTATATATTAGCAATTTTTAAAACTGTAGTTTCCCATTTTGTCAAAATCACAGTATTATACTTTTGGAACTGACTTATGTTGATATCACAAATATTAATAATTCATTAAATCAGTATCATTCAGCATGGTTTGTTGGTTCTGTTTTTATCATATAGGCGCTATTATGATGGAATGATTTTAACCCCAAGAGGTTCAACAAAAAGTGTTGGAAAAAAAGGTATGAGGAATGCTTGTCCTGTTTTCAAGCTGGTGCCGGAGGGCCATAGTTTAATTCAAGCATGACATCATGCTTGTTCATACAGGGGTCGAAATTCCCGCTATTCTGAATATAGTAAAATGCCTGACGGAATAGTAAACTTTATGATCACAGTATTCCGTTTGTATAGTAGAAAAAATTGTGGTACCAAATATCGACAAGCAAGGGTTTTCCTCCTGTATAAAAATCCCTTTATACCGGACTTTGAGCCACTGTTTCACTTCGTAGCTAAGTTCTTGTTTGCTTGCAGTACTTGCATATTCTAATTTCTTTGCAGCAATATTAACTTAATTAACTTTGCTACAATAACATGACAGTCAGACAGACTGCCACCAGCCTGCCCTGTCGTCAAAAACAACTTTAGCGTTTAGTTTTTAGGACTCAAACATTATACAAAATGTGGCGGTATGTATCGGGCATAGAAGATGTATATTAATGTACATGAATAGATGATTCAGATTAATAGTTAATTACTGAATGATTCATTGAATGTGAGATGTTTTGTTTTTTATTAATAATTTGTTCATCACTGTACAGAGCAATGCACTGTACATGTTTATTTTTTGTTATTCAATTATTCAGTTCACTAGTTTAGGAGTCTCAAGGATGATTTCACGAAAATCAGAACATTAGCGCGGACCCTGCATGAACAGGCTCTCAGAAACAGTAAATTAAAGAATAGTGGATCTTCAGACGGAATAGTAAATTTCAAAATCTACTATTCCGGCTGTATAGTACAAAAAAATTTAAATTTCGACCGCTATCATACCATTTTCTATTATTTTATAGCTTCATTTACACACCCAAATAGTTGTAAGACACGATTGTCTTTTGAAGGTATTGTAAAAGAAACTATTATGTAAAGCAAGAGATATATTTTCTATTTTGAAACCTAATTAGTTACATTGTACATGTCAATTGTGTTACAATACATCTCCTGGATTGCATTAGACATCCCAAAAACAAAAACAAACCATTGCAAAACAATGCAAATTGCATTTGAAACAATACCTGTTATTAATAATATTTTAAAATCTATAGTGCTGTAAAAAATAAATATAATGGCGACATATATAAACATGCAATGTATTGTCATATCATCACATATAACTATACATTTATTAATTTAGGAGTTAAAACAGGTAGTAGCAGTGTTTCTACTTCAAATATAGACAGTATTATGGATGAATTTGGAGCAATGGAAATTCTAGGTGTGTATGATATTATAGCAAATGTTTGTCACTTCAAAAAATCCATAGTGTATCTAAGTATTTAATTTGTTTGTTTAAGGGTTTACACATTAAGTAGCCTTTCTCACGCCGCCATTTTTGTGGTACTACCTTTTCCAGATCTGAGATTGTAATCAATGAATATGGGATTTGTATAACTATTGTTGCGAGTATAGTCATTATAAGTTAATTTACAGTTAAACATTTGAAAAATTGCTTTCACATCGCTTAGATTTTTCACCGATCATTTACAAAAAAAGTACCCCAAAAATGGCAAATTTGGCCTTCATGAGAAAGGCTAATTAACATTTGTTGGGCTGATTTCAGGTTTTGCTGACTATTAATGATAGTTTACATACATGTCAGTTGTTGATCAATTCAGATGATGTAACCGCATACATTTCAAATATCATTGATTTAATTAGAACCAAAATTGTCCGACAAATGGCTACACTGCAGTACTATAAAAGTTGTTGTTGTTCTTGATGTTGTTGTCATTTGTGGTTGTCGTCATCATTGTTGTTGTTAGAAATTATTTTCAAAAATGTCTGTTAATGAAATTTTGACAAATGTGTAGTGCGTATATATTTTGTAGATGAATCACACTCAACAGTTGAATCAACAAGTGACACTCAACTTGCACTTCAGGCCGAAGTGCCATGTTTCCAAGATAAACTCCAAAATGCTGAAGAGGCAACATGTTTGGATGAGTTTTCTAGTCAAAACAAGGAACTTAAGAAGCACATTAAAACTGTTACGGATCAGTTTTCAGAATATGTGGCATTGTCTGAGAAAATCATTGGCAAACAAAGCTATATCATAGAACTTTACCATCACATTGTCACCAATGGTGGAACACTTGGGGGGCTGCTGTCATTGTCAGAAAGATGTGAAATAACAAATGAGATCAAGAAAGTTAGAGGCATATTTAATCTGGGAATTAGAAATAAGGAAGTTAAAGATCTTGTGCCAATTTTTAAACCAACACTTTTTAATACCTTGATGGGAAAATTGAAAAGTGATTGCCCAACAATAACATGTATTCTGGAGCAACTGGTGCTTTCCACAAAGAATGCAGGACGCATTGCGTCCTGCCGACGCAATATTATCAAGACACCAGCTATGAAAATGAAGGCTGCAATTCATTTGCTTTCATCACTTATGGATGTGAGAGATCAAAACAGTAGCAATGATGTACCTATCTTGTTTGGCTTATTGTGTATGTGTTTTGGTGCCGGACCATCCCTGATTGAGTTGCTTCAACGTTTAAGACTGTCTGAGTCATATCAAGTTCTGTAAGTTTAAACTTCTTTTCTTTGTTTTATAACTGAGAACAGGGTGTAACATCTATTTAATATCAATGACATCTCTGATAGGTTGGTTAAATGCAAGTCATTGCACAGCCAATCAGATGTTATTAGATAGAGAGGTGGGAAACTATCTTGCCTTTCACTGCCTTTCTCTCAATTTTCCTCTGAATTGATTCGTTATCCCCGTAAGAGGTTTCCTGCAGAGGAGGCTGAGGGTAACATACTGTTACTAAACTGTACATATTTACACAAACTATGTCAAATGTGGTCCACATTGTATATGATTGATTACATGTAATAAAAATTATGGTTTTGCAGATGTATATATATATATATATATATATATATATATATATATATATATATATATATATATATATATATATATATATATATATATATATAGTAAAGTATAGTACACGTTTACGCTTATACCCAGGAACTTAATTTAACCAATGTATTTTCTGGGCCCCTATCTGGTTAAAAATATCAGGCAAAGTCTTTTTGAAACTTGGCATTAAGAAAGCGAAATATGGTTTGCTTTTCCTTGCAGGATTAAAGTGCTGAAGCGGCAACTGGAGCACTACAAATTATTAATCAAGGAACGTGTTTCAGATACCAACCCAGTTATAACGTATCAAGACAACATGCAATTGATGCGTACTTCGCTTCGACATTTGCGACTGTCCAAATTGCAGAAGGACAAAGCGACTCAAAACAAAATGTGGGACTTTACAGTCCGAGGTTGGAGAGTAGCGGAATACTACGGGTATAGAAGAATACTTTGAAGGATCAGCTGCAAAAGATTTGGATTCCCAAGGTTGTGTGAAAAGTTTGAAATATGAAGATATGTGTATCGGTGAGTATGGCAAATATCTATCAGTGGTTCTGATCTTTTACTTTAGCACATTATTTTGTTGTCTGTTCCAAGCCGTTTTTGTCAAATACGAACCCGTGAGTTATCGCTCTTCTCCCAGCAAGCACAGTGGCGTAACTACTATGGGCTCAGACCGTGAGAACCCGGGGGCCCCAACCTAAATGGGGGCCCCCAGGCTTAGGCAATAGAGCAAAAACATTGGTCAGGGCCTCTGATATGTTACAATGTAGTTTTACGACCATCAGAATTCTGTAAAATCTCTCCCCAAAGTCCAGGAAATGGCATTTCAGAGAGTCTAAATTCAAAAATTTTCCGGATGAGCATGCCCTGGACCCCCTAGAAAATTCGTGCATATACGGCGCTCGACTCGTGCCTTTGGCACTTCTACTAGGGGGGCCTTCGAAAATTTTGAACCGGGGGCCCCCTGATATAACGTTACGCCACTGAGCAAGCATGGAGAATATGCACATGTCTGCATGACCAAATACAATAGAAAAAGAGACTTAAATAAAAAGAACTATCAATGGCAACTTAGTGTCGTCTATACTCAAACGAATAGTATATTCAGATTCTATAGATGAACAGTATTCTTATGCATGTGTGTGGTTTAATAAAACACAAAAAGGAGATTCGTGTGTCGGTTTAACTGTTACGCTATCGTTTATTTTATTCTAACCAGTGAACTGAATAGAACTGGAACGCTACCTTCACCTGGAAAATTGAAGCCAAATTTTACGTCAAGACACGCGTGTTTGACCTCCTGACACGCGTGGGAATCCTGACACAAAAGGAAATCGCGTAACACAAACACGTCTGTCTGGAGGTAAAACACGCGTGACTGGAGGTAAAATTTGGCTTCGTGCGATCATAGACTGGTTTCTATTGCTAACTCATTTTTTCACTCAAGAAACATCAACTGTTTTAAATTTTTTACTTCCGTTTACTTTCCATGCATTATTTGAAAATAGGTCATGAATCTATGATTGCTTGGTGAATAGTTAATTAATTACATGCATGCATGTAAAATTTTGTATTGTTCAAACAGCACGTATATTAAACAGCACGTATAACTTTAGATCCGTAAGCCCGGATCCGTAAGTTATTAGAGAGGTTCAGATTTGGCCTCCACCACCACTATAGCCTGAAGTGGACTGGAGCACAGGCTACCACCACTATTGCTACTATTCAGAGACCACGAACCAATCAGATACGTTTAGTCCTCCCGAAAAACCAATCACATGCGTACTAGGTCAGGAAAAGGTAGCGGTAGTGGAAGTCAAACCTGAACCTCACAAATTAAAGGTCACATCAACGCACGCGCATGCAAGACAATAGTGAATTAAAATTGAAAGTCATTAACACTGATAGATATGGGCATATGGATCGAAAGCATTGCACTAATAAATATGCGTGGTGTTTCTACAAAACAAAACCTTAACTCATTGTTCACCGTATCCTCCTCCGCATGCAACTCTGAAATCCCACAAATGAGACATTGTGGAGAGCTAAATAAGAAATAGTTGATGGATAAAGAGGGACGTCATTTAGTATCAGTAATTTAATCATTTTTCTGCTAGAAAACCATCCACAACACAAAAAAGAATGGGAAAGTTTTAAGGAGATAAATTTGCTGAGGAAAATGGATGTAGCTCTCAATACAGTCCATATTGACCAAAGTGTTTTGAAGTCGATGAGCAGTGAGAAAATGAAGGAGTTTACTTCAGCCGAAGCAACTTCAACCAAAAAGTACGAGATTGATGTTTCTCCAATACCAGAGGAATTTCCTGATATGGGGACCAAAGCTGCAGATATTTACCCGTTGCCTTTGTCGCATGAAAACCAGTGTACAACTCTTGGCGTGGCAAATAACCTTGAATTGTTTCAAGAGGAATTTGATTTTAAAAGCAACAAGAATGTGAAGTATTTACCGCTGAAGAGCTCTGGAAAAGAGTTCGATTTGGAGCAGGCTTATAAACGGTTTGCATTTTTGCGGAAACTGGACAGGCATAAAGAACAACAGGAAAAGTACGAGAATACATTGCGTGGTTGTACGTCATCTGAACAGTCTGACCACGTTGAAGAAGCTTTTGTAGTTGTTGAGAGTGAAAGCGAAGACAGTGATGATGAATAATTATATTGTAAAATAAAACGTATTTTCAAGCATTTGCCCATACGAGTTTACTTAATTGTTTTGGGGAGAAGAGGCATTTTCCACCTGTTTCGTAAGCTCATGGCTGAGAAATAGCAACTGCTTTGTTGATTCTATACTTATCCGCAGGCAACTCTCGAAACACTAGTTTAGTTAGGCAGAGTAGTTGAAACACTAGTAAGGGAGAGACAAATACCTCATTATTTCTGCAACTATATCTCCCTGATTTGTTGTCTTATGCTTATGCTTGTGCTCAATCCCTCCCCAACTAGTTTAGTAGTGTTTCAAGAGTTACCTTCGGATGATAGAGGCCAGGTTATCCCCCAAAGCATCCCTGTATATAAAACCTTATTGCATCTTTATTTACAATTGGCTTATTTTCCACTAAAGTCAATCCATCATTTAGTCCATGCATCTTCACATTCGTGAATATGGCACATTGATATGATCAGTCATCTATTTTAATTTACATCATCGTACGGTTACCACGGCTCTTCCGCAGGCAACTTTTGACTTTTTGTCTCTCCCTATCTAGTGTTTTACTAAGTCTCTCTTTACAGCTCAGATATGTCTCATTTGTCGTTCAATGAGTTGTGTGCAGAGGAGTCTATCCTTTGCCTGTGAGTTGTTTTATACCCAAGTCCTCATAATCAAAGCTTTCAAGCCGCACTGACATTGTCATAGCCCTAACGTCGATAATGCACGCTTAGCGTATCTACTTTTTGTGTATAAACTAACCCGCGAACAGGCTAGGAGTTAGGTTTATTCACTTTATTGTTGATTTCAAAAATTGCTTTAATATTTCGAAAACAACATTTTGTTACGAGTAGTCAGTAAAATTTTTAACTTTCAGCTCATCTATTGTATTACCAAAAACGGCAAACACAATTTGCATGTTATCCTTGTTTACCTAACTTCTTTAATTATAAGACAACACACAAAGACCAAGACCGAAAAAGTCATATTTAATGACTGCTCCATGTCATCTGCCACGACCATATTGAAGATTGCTAGTTCTAAAACTGATGCAGGTTGAACGGCTTAGTTGGAGTGAACTGGTACCTCACATAGGAATAGAAGAGGTTGACGACGAGCTCGATAAGCGAACTACCAGAATATTTGACGATTTACGTCAAGTGGCCTCCGTTTGCAACGAAGATGGAACTTTAATTGTAAGACTAAAAGCACGGAAAAATGAATTTATTTTGGCACGCGATCAATATCTCAGGACAGTTCTACATCTTGCAGCCGGCATTGGACACACAAGACTTTTAAAGTGTTTGGTACACGCAGGAGCACCTATAAATGTTCGTGACGGAATTGGCCAGACTGCTCTAACTATATCGCTTCACAAAAATAATGATGCAGCGAGTGTCTTTCTTATCGAAAGTGGCGCTTGTGTTCAGGAATACTACTACGAAAATACTGTTTCTCCACTGGCAATTGCAAAGTTGCACAAAAATGATGACATCGTCGAATTTCTGGAGAAACGTATCGGAGACGAAAAAAGAGTGTTAGATCACGTTTCTAAATTTTTTCCTAAGAAAATTTCTGGTTCACCCGTGGATATGAATGTTGATCATGTCAACCATAAAGAGAATTTTTCACGTGCACTGAACATAAACATTGGTGACCAAAAAAACACGGTGACTGTTATTGGTTGTGCTAACGCTTGCCCTGATATTTATGGTTGCCACAGTCAACTATGCTGTAATACTTGTGGGACGTAGGTAATAATGTACTACGCGTGCGCAGTAATTTGTATAAATCATTTAACGATCACACTATGCTTTAAAACGTCAGAATTATTCAAATTATTTGATAACAAATCAATATTCAAATTATTTGATAATAAAAATAAATTTTTTTGAATTATTCAAAAATTTTCATTGCCTTTCCAACCCGTGAAGAAAACTCCCCGTTTGCAGTTGGTTAAGACTCGGACCATCCATTTTACAAAATGTCTCTCCTCATCAAAAGGTAATTTAGAAAGCTTACGGTTACAGCTCAACAGCTGGCCTCTGTAGCTCAGTTGGTTAGAGCGCTGCACCGGAATCTCAGGGCCGTAGGTTTGATTCTTACCAGAGGACCTTGTGCTGCATTTTTCGCAGTCGTTCCTGGTTAGGTCTTAAAATGTATATAAATTATTCTCACTTGGATTATAAACCCTAACATCCTAATATTAATTCCACCAAGTGAAGTGCAGAATCTAAGTTATTCAAGTCCACCTTATCACAACCCGCACACCCGATTACCTTATATACATGAACTTACGGTTACAGCTCAACAGCTGGCCTCTGTAGCTCAGTTGGTTAGAGCGCTGCACCGGAATCGCAGGGCCGTAGGTTCGATTCCTACCAGAGGACCTTGTGCTGCATTTTTCGCAGTCGTTCCTGGTTAGGTCTTAAAATGTATATATTCTCACTTGGATTATAATAAACCGTAACATCCTAATATTAATTCCACCAAGTGAAGTGCAGAATCTAAGTTATTCAAGTCCACCTTATTAGAGAAGCACAGTTTCAAATAGAACTCACCTCTGACCTATTTACTTTACAGGTTTGTTGTAAACTTCTGTTTTCTAGCCAACGCTTTGTATGCGTAAACCTCTTTCGGGACAGAAGCGGTAAAAAATACTTCGCAATCATTTCTCAGTATATATTTAACAAACTTATAATACGCTTTAATGCAATTTGTAAAGTCATTTTAGATAAAACTTTAAGAAATAAGAATTCAGTAATAAAAAATGTCATAACCTTTCCAATCCGTGAAGAAAACTTCCCGTTTGCAGTTGGTTAAGATTCGGACCATCCATTTTACAAGATGTTTATCCTTATGAAAAGGTTTAGACTTTGAAGCACAGTCTCAAATACAACTTACCTCTCGAATTTTCAGTTCACAGCTTTAGGAAAACTTCTATTTTGTTATTTTGTAAGTTGTAACCGGCACTTTACACTTGCAGTCCTATTTCGCAACAGAAGAAGATTTTTCAACCATTTCTCAGCTTATATGCACCAAATTTGGTTGTTTCGCTTGTGGGACGGAGATAAAGAGTTTATACGTGTGCGCAGTTTTATTAAATAAAGAGCCGATCACTATGTTAAAATTCGAACATGTTAGGCATTACAAGCGAAGGAAAGGAGGTTTAAAGAATACAAAAATGTATATAATTTTAAGACAAAACATGTAAATGAGACTTGTAATCATCGACGCCCAATCATGCATAAATTAACACACGGATTAACGTTTTAAACAATTTACTCCTCTAAGTAAAATAATTTTGGAAACTGAAAACTAACTATTTTCCAGGGGAACAGGCTGAACACGCTGAAGAATGGTAAACGTTGTATTTTCGGCCCATGCAAGCGTTGTGTTTTCGACTACATACGGCCATCACAAATGGCTTCAAATATGGTTGTCAAAATATCGTTCAACCTCTGGTCAGCCAATCAGAAGGCTCCAGTTACATTACGAATCCTGAGTTACACACCGGAAAGTATATTCTTGACAAACCTCACCACGCGCATTATATACCAGCTGTGGCAGACTGGCAGCTGTGGCAGCTGTTACCTAGCTCGATTTCACCACAACTTTTAGTGACACTCTTGGTTAAAATATCGACTGAAATCCTAATGCACACATGATTGATTATTACAGAACAATCTTCAGATTCTTATGACAGAATATAAAAATCCACTTAGCGAATTTGTACAATAATAACCACTTCCCGTCGGCTTCTTCAAGGCGCGGGAGAATTGACCACTGCCGCTTCCTTGCAGCATGAATGTTCATATACCCGGCAATATTCTGATCTTCATGCGCCATTTTTGCCATTATGTTGAAATTTAGGAGTTGTTTATTTTCGTTTGTTTCTCACCTGCATGGAACTCCGAAGAACTATCGAAGGCCAGATTGTTGTTTTCATCTTTTATCGTTATATTAACCACCCACGCGCCATTGATTTCATAATTTCTATTATGTCTATAAGGTAAATAGTCTTATTTTATTTTCGCATATCATTACGGCTATAGCTAATGTTCGTGTTCGTGACTCGTAGAAAATTTGATGTTTATGTTTCATTGTTGTATTCAACCTGTCGGGAGTTTGACTAATGTCGAGGGTCGAGGGTAATAGGTCGAGGGCGAGGGTAATATGTCGAGGGTCGGAAAAAAATGTCGAGGGTAGGAAGAAATGTCGTGGGTCGAAAAATGTCAAAAAAATATTCCTTAAAATTTGGTATTCTATTTAATAGTCCGAAAATATATTTTGTTATTATTATTATTATTATTTTTTCATGTTTAAGAACATTCACCATCGCATAAATTTGAATTGCGGTGAATTTACAACTAAGTATTTAATTAGTATATAAGAGCTAAAATGTATTAAAACGTTACTTTGTACTTATATAAAATCTGTATTTAAATGTTGCTACTGTCATTAAAAATAGCCACAGTGCTCGGAAAGAAACTGCGGCGGTACTATTCTGTTCTGCATTTGATCGTAGTTAATGCATTAGAATTTCTTAGGTTGTAATCGTAACAGGTGTCTCTTGGTGCAGGAATGTGACTAAATAAAAGGTATATTTTTCAAGGTTTTAAGGCAAAGTTTTTCTCGTCTCTCGTCTAGCCGGGCGCATTTCAGAAATGATAGGGCTTCACTATAGGTGTATTCTGGTAAAATAATTCTAAGTGCGCGTTTCTGGACTCGCTCTAACTGGTTAGCAAGATACGAAGGTAAAGTATTTTGCCAAACAACACAACAATAGTCTAACACTGAGCGTATGATCGCGAAATAGATATCAAGTAAATCTTCAGCAGGGACGCCACTTCGGCGTAAGGTGCGGATAATGTACAACCGTTTAGATGCTTTGGAAACGACTGAATCAATGTGTTCGTTCCATTTAAATTGTTCTGAATAATAAGACAAAGAACTTTGTGAGACTGAACGATTTCAAGCACTTGATCATCTATCAATAATGGCAATAGTTCAGGTTTAACTTTCTGAAAACAAATGCGTAGTTTTTCACATTTTTTAACGTTAAGTTTCATATAGTTCTGTAGGGACCAAGAACAGATTGAGTCAAGATTAGAATGCATATTAGAAATGCAGTTCTTTGCCAGACCCTGCGAGGTTGATACATCGTCAACATATTTCCAAATATCTGTTCCGCTGGATCTAGGATTGAGATTATTTATCATTACCAAAAACAAAATTGGACCAAGCTTTGTCTCCTGTGGGACGCCAGCTTTCTTTCTTTCATGCTATTCCTTGGCAGTACATAGTTTCCTTAGATTATCCTATAAATGCTTGGCAATTTTGGAAAAAACTATTTCTTGATGTTGCTGATAAGCATGCTCCAGTCAAACAAAGAAGAATAAGGAAAAATTGTGCCCCATGGCTCTCTGTAGAAATCAAGAAATTAATATGGGAACGAGATCGATTAAAGCGTAAAGCAGTTTATACTAATGATGAAAATGATTGGGTCAATTTTAAAACAGCTAAAAATCTAGTTAACTATAAAATTAGAGATAGTAAAAAGCAATATTATAATTCTTTGTTTCAACTCAACGTAGGTCGAACTAAAGAAACTTGGAATGGTATCAACAGTCTTCTTTCTAAATCTAAAAATTCAACTACTATACCAAAAATCTTGCAAGATGAAATCGAAATTACTGACCCAGTAACTATTAGCAATGTTTTTAATAAGCACTTCACTGAAATCGGACCTAAATTAGCAGCGCAAATTCCAACAACTGGTGCGGCCTCTTATAGTATTCCACAATGTAATGAAGTTTTTGAATTACATGAAGTTACTCCAGGTCTTGATAACATTCCTGTTCGTTTATTAAAACTAATTAATTTCACTACTGTGGTTTCACTTACTCACATTATTAATCTAGTAATTCGCAAGGGAATTATTCCCGCTGACTGGAAGTGTGCCAGGGTATCAGCAATTTATAAACATGATTCAAAACTAGATTTGAATAATTATAGGCCTATTTCAGTCCTTCCAGTAGTTTCAAAAATTTTTGAAAAGTTGTCTTTGACCAAGTATATGCTTTTTTAAACAAAAACAACCTTTTATCTTACATACAGTCAGGATTTAGACCTCTTCACTCAACATTAACAGCTATGCTTGATGTCACTGATAAATGGTACACTAACATGGACAGTGCATGGGTTAATAAATTCTGTCTTATTCATTGATTTAAAAAAGGCTTTTGATACCATTGATCATAACATTTTACTACAGAAGTTAACTTGTTACGGTTTCAACAAAGAAACGATTGATCTTTTTAGAAACTATCTTACTGATCGTACTCAAATAACAGTTATTAACAACATACGATCTGATACTCGTAAAGTAACATGTGGAGTTCCTCAGGGGTCTATCTTAGGTCCACTACTGTTTTTAATAACGACCTACCTAACAGTGAATTGGTATCAGATGGGCGTTTATTCGCTGATGATACCAACTTGACTTTTGCGGACAGCAACCCTGACAAGTTGATTTCTGTTCTAAATGACGACCTTAAAACTCTCCAAAACTGGCTTAACCTGAATAAACTAAGCCTGAATGCGATTAAAACTAAATGTATGTTTATGGCATCCAGGCAAAAATTAAGTACTATTCCTGAAGAACCTA